TGTATACAGTGTAGCGCGAATATTCGTTAAAATAACTAAAATAGTCCTGCCTAAGCCTGGGTAACTCGTGAATTGTTAGTTGGCGCAGTGCTGCATAAATGGCTTCGTGCGCCAACCCAATGCACCTGCGCAGTAACTCAGTTCCGTTGCTGTTGCTCTTCTTTATTAAGCAAAATCGATCTTCCGTTACTTTTCGTTGATAGCGTGTTGTTTTCTTGGGTAGCTGGACCTAACTGCAGTTAGGCCTGCTTCTTCGGCATATAAAATTCACCACTAAAGAACATTTTACTGCATCTTTGAATTTTTTTTCACTCTTTTTCACCCCATGTGCCTGCTGGATTTTCTTGCACTACACACTGCGCGCTTTTTCCCGGTATTTAGGAGCAACGTTTATTTAGTGGTTTAATGGCTTTTGCAGTACATATGCAGCAGCAGCAAAAAGTTGGAAACACTTTGTCCCAATTGTAGGTGACGGACAGTTGTGTGCACTCTATAGTGAATAAGTCCTACTAATTATCCTAAGAAGCGTCCTCAGCAGTAAATAGGTCTAACTGAAATCGACAAAAACTCCCTTTGAAGTGAATAAGTCGAACTAAAATCGATAAAGGCGTCCTCTGTAGTGAATAGGTCGAACTAAAATCGATAAAAGCGCCCTCTTTAGTGGATAGGTCGTACTAAAGTCGATAAAAGGGCTCTCTGTAGGGAATAGGTCGAACTAAAATCGACAAAAGCACTTTCTGAAGTGAAAAGGTCGCACTAAAATCGATAAAAGCGGCCTCTGTAGTGAATAGTTCGCACTTAAATCGATAAACGCACCCTCTGTAGTAAATAGGTCGAACTAAAATCGTGAAAAACGCCCGCTGTAGTGAATAGGTCGCGCTAAAATAGACAAAATCACCCTCTGAAGTGAATAGGTGGAACTAAAATCGATAAGATCGATCGATCTTTTGTGATGACGAAACAAATTTAATGTAAGTAGTTCTGCGATAAGCTGGAGCAATTGCTGAATTTCACGTAATTAAATTTCCGTGTGTTTCCAATTAAGTGAATCATGCGAGCCACAAAGGAAATCCTCTAAATAGCAACATACAAAAAATACAATGGACTTATGAACAGGGGGAACGACCGTAAAATAGGCCCAACAAAAAATATCTTTCAAATTTCGAATGGACGTTATGGTAGTAGACGTTAATTTTTGAATTTGCCTTTCCAAGTAATTCTATAGTCATTATTTCTGTGCAACTTGTTACTATTATTCTTCAGACGTTAATAGACAAAATCATGTTATCACTCAATTAAATTGGCTAACCATTTAGTCGCATGCAACCGGGCACAATTCCATTGCTAATGTTACTTCCAACCCATTGCCGCTTATTACTACTTTTGTTATTATTATCCTTATCAGTCTTTATTATTTTAGGACCACCAGATCCGCCCAGTGGGACCCCAACCATCACAGCCTTTGTCGATACGGTCACAGTGGCGTGGAGCAGCTCCCCATACGATGGGGGCAAAAAAGTCCTCGGCTACATTGTGGAATATTCGCTTTGTGGTAGCGACATTTGGAGCACAGCTGTAGACGACTGCACCTACCTTAGTCATGCGGTTGGAGGGTTGCAACCAGGCGGTAGATACGCCTTTAGGGTGCGCGCCTTCAATGTGCACGGAATCAGCAGACCCAGCGCCCAATCGGGCATCGTTCAACTGGAGGAACATAGTAAGTGTTTGACTGTGATTGAAATAGCGCTGACATGACGAACTTCTGGAATTAGATGGAATTTTTATAGCGCTTATTGGGTTGATTAGGGATCTGCAGCTTGTGCCAGGCAGTTGTCTGCTGAGAATATTTTTAAACATATTGCAGTCGAATTCAAGAATACCCTGTATCTGAACGGACAAACACCCTTTGCTGACTTGCTGTGAATTCGCTTCTAGATTCTATTCGCATTGGGCAAATTGTGAATTTCTGAGTATCTTGATGCAAAAATTGCAAGAGATGTTTCCTTGTCCTGCAGTATTCAAAGTTTATGCGCAAAAAACTTGTGTCGTCTTCTTGGACTAAGTGCTACCAACATTTCGTGATCATTCCCCATTTTATTCGTTTAGTTTTGAATCCTAGGTAAAAAATTGTTCTTGGGAATCGGCAGAACTGACGTTTTTCTTCAGGATTCCTCAAGCAAAAAATATTTTAAGTCGAAGGAGCTGAGTGTCCGTTCGACGAGACATCGACCATGAACCACATCTGAGCAAGAAGGTCGAGAAGCAAATCTTCCCTTAAACCTAGAAAAGTGTTTACCAAAACGTTCAGATAGTTTTCGCCTTTCCAACCATGCCGCATGACCTAAGGGCTCAGATGGAACGAAACATTTACTGAAATTCGTTCAGAAAGTGGTACAAACACTTCACTTGTGAATTAAATTATCTGTTCATCATTGAATAAAACTTTCCTAGTAGCGGCAGAAAAGTCTTCCATCAAAATCGAAGCTAAAAATTATGAGAAGGAAAAAAAAATTATATCGCGCTCCGCATAAAGTCGTACATGCTCAGGCAAATTTGTCTTCACAAAGCGTCCATTTCAATGATTTCTTTATTAGAAAACAGTTGACAATAAAAGTTTAACAATGAATTTTTTTTGTTCGAAAAATGGTGTTTGAGCTAAAACTGTGAGTGCTACAAGATTGATCCAAGAGCATATAATTAGTGTTTTCCCGTACTCAGTACCAAAACACTGAAGAATTTTCTACTTTCCCAATGCGGTTGAATGTACTTAATTTTTTCTGCAAAAAAGGGCCAACATAATGTGTAGAGCCCACGGTTCCATCCAAAAATTGATCAAACTGTCCATAGGAGAGAGTTACTGGTTAATTACGCACTAAATTGCTTACACCATATTACTATCAGTATATCTATTGTTCAGGTACCGTACGGATATCGGGTTAAACAACGTTTAGACGATAATAGTCTAATACTTTTATGGCTCAGGAGAATATTTACTTTCGCTTAATGTATAAATAAGAACCAAAATATATTTAAAAAGATTTACTTGCTGGCATTGTTGGGTCGCCTCGTTTGGAGTTAGTGGCACGTTGTGATTGTTCGTTAATGATACACAGGTTAAATGGAAGGTAAGCTAAAAACAACACTATACCGATGAAATCGTTCATCAACTTCCTTGCGATCTTGTAGCGAGTTTACTTCATAATAAGGAAGCGGAACCTATAATTAATAGCGCACATGCTCAGCTCATAAACTCCACAATAAATCAACTAGTACGACCTCGGTTTTAATGAAGCAACATTACTTGCTAAATCTGCTAATCACTGACTATGAGGGAATATAATTAAAATTGTGGTCTGTTGCAGACGAGTCCTCCTCCTTCGAGCACCGCCTCGTAATGACTGAACCCGGACTAGAATTCAAATCCCGATACGAAGTGCAAGAAGAGTTGGGCAAAGGAAGATTTGGTGTTGTCCATAAAGTGGTGGATAAATCCACCAACCAGAAACTGGCCGCCAAATTCATACGATGCAGAACCCCGAAAGACAAGGAGAAGGTACCAAATGTGTACCAGCTTAGTCTTTGAACGCAACTGAAGCAAACATTTTCAGGTCCAAGAAGAAATTAACATAATGAACCTGCTCAGACATCAAAAGCTACTGCAGCTGGCCGCAGCTTTCGAAAATCCCAAAGAAACCATTATGATTATGGAGTAGTAAGTTAACCAATAATTACGTCTAGGGTGGATGGCTTTCAATTTGCTTCTAGCATTTCGGGAGGCGAGCTGTTCGAACGAGTGGTCGCAGACGACTTTACTCTAACGGAAAAAGACTGCATTCTGTTCATGCGGCAGATTTGCGAAGGTGTTGCCTACATGCACTCCCAAAACGTGGTGCATCTGGACTTGAAACCAGAAAACATCATGTGTCATACTCGAACCTCTCATGAAATTAAAATAATCGATTTTGGGTACGTGAGAGTGGAAATCCTAGTCACATAAAGAGTAAAAAGTTGCTATTTTCTTACGCAGTTTGGCACAGAAAATCAACCCAGACGTCCCGGTACGAGTGCTCTTTGGAACGCCCGAATTCATTCCACCAGAGATAATCAACTATGAGCCCATTGGAATCGAATCAGACATGTGGTCATTGGGCGTTATTTGTTACGTGTTGTAAGTATTCTTCTCCCAAATGCCAATATCTCAACCAAGAAAGATTAATACGAATTTTGCTATAAAATGTTTCAATTTGGACCACCGCCTTCGATATACCTTCATGGTGTGACTATTACAGTAGAACTTGAAAAAAGCAACTCATGATGCAAATACAATTAATACACTGGAAAAAGCAATTAATTAATTTTCTGATGTAAAACCGAAAAAAAACTAGAAAATCGATAATAAAAATGTATGTATAGTACAACTTAAGACATACTGCATATCAGAGTTGAGCAACAAATCACTACCCGTGATTTTTCACAGCGATTAACAGCGTTCGTCACAGATTGTGACGAACGTAAAACAAACTGTGATTTTAAACGTGATACGTTACTGTACGTGAAGCTGCTTATATTTTCACTGCTAACGCTGCTATTGCGAGTTACGTGTAGTGATCATATGTTGCGCATGTGGCCCGACGAAAGAACGAACCCAAATAAAATTATTTTGTTCGCTAATAGGGAGTTTTTAGGCCCCTTAATTGCAACACGTTTTACTTTATCCGCTATTCTGAGCATGCGCATTAGTAAATAAATAACCGTTTACGTTATTAGAGGATAACGTGTTCCTTTATTTACGTACGAGTAACGGCAACGTTAATAAGCACCACGTTAAAAAAGCAGAACGACGGTGTTGACATATTTGACTTATTTCTAATATTATTAATAAAATAAGCGGCTAAAATAGAATAAGGAATATTTGTAAATTTAAATAAGACTCTCTCATTGATTAGTTTACGCCATTATTGCGTAATTACGGATTTTATGTGAACATTGTTTGGGAAAATTTGAACTTCGGCAACACTACTAACATCGCACTCACAGGTTCTAACTTCTAACCCATAACTTAACAATTTGATTTTGAATTTTTATTTAATATGTTCGGAATATGTTCCTTCTGAAAGCTAAAACTGATAAGGCGATCCCCGGGCTCAATATTTTCTAAATTAACAATAGCTAAATCGAGATTTTCAACTACTTCTAAAAATTTTCAATAGCTAAATCGAGATCCTTAACTATTTCTGAAATTTTTCGATAGCTAAATCGAGATCTTTAACTACTTCTAAAGTACTTCAATAGCCAAATCGAAATCTTCAACTATTTCTAAAATCCTTCAATAGCCAAATCAAGATCTTCAATTATTTCTAAAATTCTTCAATAGCCAAATCGGGATCTTTAATTATTTCTAAAATTCTTCAATAGCTAAATCGTAATCCTTAACTATTTCTAAAATTCTTCAATATCCAAATCGTAATCCTCAATTATTTCTAAAATTTTTCATTAGCCAAATCGAGATTCTTAATTACTTTTAGACTTCTTGAATAGTTAAATCGAGTCCCATAACTACTTCTAAATTTTTTCATTAGCTTTTTGCAACAACCGGTGAGTCAACGATGTAAAATGTCGTGTAAAATTAAGCCTCTTATTAAATCGTGATCCACATCTCCCTGATCATTTCGGTTCAAAAAGGCAGCTTCAATGTTTTCTTCCATCTTAGCCACTTTTTGTTTAATAACAGTACAAACTGAAACTAGCTTTGAAACTTCCAAACAAAACGGGATAAGAAAATAATAAAGTGAGGTTTATTTTATTAGGAGTGCAACAAACGCGGTATCAAAAACTAAAAAACGCACTTAACGTTATATACCTGAACACCTAATTTTTTTAACACTGCGCATGAGCACTATACCGTTTAGCGTTTAAGGCCAACGTAATTTTAAGGGGTCTAAAAACTCTCTATTGAAATCTTGCATTTGCGGGTTCCCATGAGCCTGGATTTTACTAATATTTTTGGAAACTTATTTCAGTTTGCACCATTCATTAGCCGCATTCTGATAGAGTATCGGTAACCTGTTTGTGTATTTCTAAAATAATTTTCTTGGAATATGTTTAGTGTTTCTGTTTTGTTCATTTTTTCGAATGGAAATTGTTTATTAGGTATTGTGCTAAAGACGAAAAACATTTTTTGGGAATTTACTTTTTGCTTTAGATGATAATTTTGCAAAATGCAATTTATGCAAAGCGAAATTATCTTGCAAAACAAGTGCGTCGAATTTGAAACGGCACATGGAATGCAACATCCCACAATATCAGTAAATTCTGAAAATTTTCGCGAAGAGTAGCGAAGTTTGTACCTATTTTCACTCAGATAACGTTTTTTTTAGATTAAACATTAAAATCAAATATAGTTGTTCGCAAAGAATTAATAGCTACATACGCTATTCGTTCTGTGTAAAACAATAGTTTTTTGTTCCTATTTTAATTTTTCTCCCCTAATGTTTTAAGAACTTTTAGAGTACATGGGTTTACAAAACCAGTTGCTAGTTGCAGACGCTGTTATTTTTTAGTGTCCTTAAAATAATTTCTACTTTAACTATAAAATAGTATTGTTGTATACCTAAATAACGTTATTTATTTAAAAAAATATGAGCTACAAGTGTTTTAAGGATGTTTCTGCAAGTGACGCACAATTGCCCATCACCTTATGACGCTGCTATATCACGAAAACGGCAACCAAAAGCGAAATCACATTCACAGGTTAAATTCACAGTTAAAAAGATTTACATTCACAGTTATAACAGTGATTTTAAAATCACGCTTTAGCTCATCTCTACTGCATATAGTGAAACCCCGTCACTACAGCAAACATTTCGGAACAATACTATCTTGTTCGAATTACTTCAAATTCTTCGAGCCGATATAGAAATACCACACTAATGACCATTAAATAGCGTGTAGTTGATCCCTCTTGAACTCTCACACCCAACAGTTAAGAGACGCAGAACAAAAATAATCCCTAATTAATTATAATAATACCATTATACTAACTAAAGTCAACATCAATCAATCATCGACCAAACATCAATTAAATTAATTTTTTTATTCGATTACGTACATACATTTAACTTTTGAACCGTCTTCTCCTGATCGCACCCATCCACAGACCGTGGGTGGAAGGAGACGATCATAATCGTTTGGCACGGCTGTAGCCGTTTAAGTAACCACAGGTCAAGAGTGGAACATTGCCCAATTAGCACCAATAGCTATAAGATCAAAGTTAAAATCGAAATTGTTCTTTGAGGAGTTGTTGTTTCAAGCCTTGAAAATGTGCCGATTAATTAAAGCCTCACATTTAAAAATACTTTTAGATTATCCGGTCTCTCGCCCTTCATGGGCGATACGGACTCGGAAACGTTCGCAAACATCACAAGATCGGACTACGACTTCGAAGACGAAGCGTTCAACACGGTGTCACAAGACGCCAGAGATTTTATTGGAGCACTTCTGCTCAAAAGGAAAGAGTAAGCGAAGCTGGCTAAAGCTTAAAGGGCAATTGCAAAAATATGTTTTTACTGTTGCAGAGATAGACTGTCAGCAGACCAATGTCTCAGGCACGTTTGGCTGGATCCGGATAATCACCAAGAGACAGTTGTTCTATCCACGGACAAACTGAAGAAGTTCATCATACGTCGGAAGTGGCAGGTGTGTATAGTAAATGGAAAACAACGGCGTGAGCATGCATTTTTGTGGTTTTACTTGTCTTTTTTCTTGGCTTGTTAACTTAGAAAACCGGCAATGCTATACGCGCTTTAGGCAGAATGACCAATTTGTCTAATAGCCGACGGAACAGTGCAAACTCCAATCCGAATACCCCACGAACGTCCATCTCCGGCAGCCTGGTACCGAGAATGGGCAGCTTGGAAGAAGAAAAGATGAATGGGAAAGTGGAAAATCTGTTCACCACCAGCATTGTTACGGAATCTTTCGATGAAAACGACGAAACTGCAGAGGAATCGCCGGAGGCATCCAAACCACCCGATAATGGCGATTTTGAAAGCTACAACAGCCATGAAAACAGTACCTTAAACTCCCCGACAACTACTGAGGAACTAGACGTGCCACTCGTTGCTTCTTCAGATATCACGGATAACGTTCCCGAAGAAGTGGTTGACATTGTCGACCCACACGAACTATCAGAAGATGTGCTTACCCAACTACCCAAAGACCTTACTGGTGAGCAGAACTTCAAAGCCAAAAAGGAGGTACGAACTAGAGCCTGCAGCGAACGGAGCGACAGTGGCATAAGCGACTGTTCCACTTACACCCACTTGACTTCGAGCAGCTGCAATTCGACTCCTTTGTTGGGCAAAAAGTTCCCCATCAATGAGGAGGGCGAGTACAAGTTCAAAGCGCACAGCGATGAAACCAGCTATGTGTCTTCGACGAGCATCAATCTAACAAGCAATATGTTGCACAAAGAGAATCTGAGGGGTAGCTCGGAAGAAAGCGACGTGAGCAAAAGCAGTTCCCAGGATTCTGAGTTGAGACCGGCGAGGACCAGGAGGTTTGCAGGCCGATTAGGCAGTAAAATTGAGTGTTTTCAAGCTAACGCTGTTAACAAGAGTGAGTTTGATGCATTAAGTACTTGCTTTTGATAAGTGCACGTCATAGACCTGGGTAACACTGTGTCGTGTGACACTTCTGGTGATACCGCTCTGTGTCTATGTGCTCCAACACCGCGCGTCTTACGACGCGACACCTTGAACAACACTTCACATTTAATCTCATTCAAGTGGCAGACTACGGCAAAATTAGTTCGTGCTCAAAATACTTATCTACTGATGAAAAATGTCCGTTCTGTTAATTCCCGAAATTTCGGATCGCAAATTCTGAAAAGAATACAGTGTTGGCACAAATTGAAGCACTGACAATGTTGCCTGCTTACACATGTTACAAAATATTTTTTTCAGCTCGAAATAATCACAAATTAAAACCACATTGCTGATTGTCAATTTTAATGTTTGCATTCGCTTTGTCCATAAAATTTGTCTGTCTAAAAAAAAGACGTGAACGCGTTGCACCGCTTAACGCAACTACGAGCGAACTTTCGAACCACCACACATCACCCAACACAGTGCCCTCTGTTGTCGACCGACACATAAAAAGTGTTGCGCACTGTATCGACGCAGCAAGCCGTATCGGTATCGCCGTGTTAACACCTGAAGAGCCACTGTGTTACCCAGGCCTGGTACATGGTGAGCGGAAACCTGTGGCTCAACTACAAGGAAAGAAAAACAAGTTAAATCCAACAAAATTGGATTAGGTATGGTCCTTTTTGAACGCATATTTTTAACTAAATGTATGTATATTTTTCTCGTAATTCGCGTATTTTTAATTTTTTTAATTTGAAATAATCACGTCATTGACTTATCGACTTTTTTACCCAGAAACATGCCCTTTTTCTTGATCCCCTGATGGAAAGTACGCACTTGCGCCACTGTTTTCGATGGCGGAAGCATCACTTTTACCCATTACAAATTTTCTACTTCCGTGTGAAAAGTAATAACTTTCACCACGCACGCTGACAGCTTGACTTTGTCACTCCCTGTCAGTTGTCAGTTTTTTTTCAAAACCATCTAGTCTTCAACGACGATCAAGAAAAATAGTATACGGTACGCGATACGAAAGTCGAAGGTCCGCCACTGCGTGTATGACGCCCTCGACTTCGCCTCGGGCGTTAATTTCAAACAGTGGCGGAAAAAAAACTTCAAGCAGTCTCTTGTACTGTGTAAATGCTCATTTGGGGCTCAAAATGTGGGATTCCAAGGCGGCTGTTGTCTTTGTTAAAGCCTTCTTTCACTGCCTACGTGGCCAGATCGAAATGCCCACGCATTGTGGTAATCTCTAGGTTTTCATTAAATTCCAGAAAAAAATTGAAAGAGATACGCTACAGTTCAGTTCTTTAGTGCTCCCCCAATGAATGTGTTTTCAATATCAATCGTTATTTTATCAACAATTAATATACTTTGAGAATTATTCCTTTGCTTCCAATTTGTTTAAAATTAGTCTTGCAGATATTCTTAATTTATATTATTTTCTTTCCTGGGCCCCAGTCACAGTGTGAAATGAAATTTTCTTGTATATCGCTTATTTAGTTACGTTTCGAAAGACAACAGCGCCATCATCAGACTTTAAAATTCATTCAAACTCATAATTGGCAAACATTATATTCATTTAGGTCTTTGCTGTCTTGAAACCTTCAATTTTTTCAAATTTCATCAAATTTAAAAAAAAATTGAAGGGTTTAAGACAGCAAAGACCTAAAATAGAAATTTATAAAAAATATATAAAAAATGAATATAATGTTTGCCAATTGTGAGTTTGAATGAATTTTAAAGTCTGATCATGGCGCTGTTGTCTCGCCGAAACGTAACGAAATAAGCGACATACAAAAAAAATTGCTTCACACTATGACTGGAGTCCAGGAAAGAAAATAATATAATAACAATTACACGCAGTCAGGAAAAGAAATCAAGATATTTTTAAAGGTGTCTAAACTGTTTAATGTATTGTATAATAAGCTGATTTATCATTTATTTATTTCTCAATGCACTTTTACAACAAACCGACCGCTTCAAAAGAATGGTCAAACAAAAGATAAGAAAAGCAGTAAAATTGTGTAAATGCCGCAATTCAAATATATTTTTTGGTCCGTTAATAAACGTCTCAGTAGTGCACTTTCTGCGCCGAATAAAGGCAAGGAACCAAAAAACGCAGAAGAAAAGTCGCAAATTCTTCACTGTCTTGCTCGCGTTGTGGCTTGATTGTGCATCATTCTAAAGTCTTAATTGTATCTGTATGTCTCCTTATTATTTTCCTCATTTCCTTCTTTGTGGGCGCAAGTTCTTTGTTCAATTCTTTCGACACAGACCTTACATTTTGATATGTTCAAAAAATCATTCCAAATAACTCTTGCACACAAAAAAGTTTTCATCTTTCTCACTTGAAAAATATAATAAACTTGTGCAACAAATATTATGAATGAATTACAACAATCACGATTTAAACAAACCTCACAAGTTACTTTTAGCGATTAAATAGCAACGTTCCATCTCGCAATCGTTAAACATTAATAGTAATTTAATATAAAAAAATGTTACTGCTTTTATCATTGTAGGGAAGCACTAGAATAATACTTCTTCAATATCTTCTTTATTACTCTCGTTCAAACACGCAACAATCTCCCAAAACGTTCTCCAAAAAAAGTATAGTGGGACCAAATCTGGTGATGTAGGCGTCCACTGTATCCGTTCATTTATACCCATCCAAATGCTTTAATAGGTTTCAAATGTCCAAAAATAGTTGAACTATTTATTCTTAAGTTATGTATCAGGTGCAGCTCCGTCAGGCGAGAAATATGTTTGCGGGTAGTTGTAAAATCTGATTTCAAGCTAACTTCTCACCTACGCAATTCGTTGCTGCAAGGAACTAATACGAATTTTTTGCCGCAACTCTCGAGTTAGATTTATTGCGCAACTTTGTCGATCAAAGTAGTGCAATTTTGCAACTCAACAACATAAAATTGTGCCCTCAGCAGACAAAAACGAAAATAGTAATATCAGAGTGCCTTCAAGTAGTCGACTACCGGGCTTCAATGCCATTTGGAAAACAATAAACATCGGATTATGAAGAGATTGTACATCCATCTGTCGATATCACCTCTCATAGTTTTCAAAACATGGGCCTTACGCGAGTTGCACATGAAGAATTGCATTAAAATAGAGTGCGTATTGCGTGCAATTCCTTGCACAATACAAAATTGCTTGCAAAACTGTCTAGCCGCCTAGTGTGAACCAATTGCATGCAATTTAGGCCCGGACAACGCAGTGAATTTTGAGGAGTTGGCGCAGTGTTACGCCAACCCAACACACCCGCGCAGTAACTCAGTAAAAGTAAAGTAAAAAAGACAAAGTTACTTATAAAAAATTTGATAACCTTTTGTCGTTTGCACAAAGTGATCAAACGTTACTCATTAAAAATATTTATGACCGTTTTCAGATGTTCAAATTCCAATTGAATAAATGAGTTTTAACTCAGAGAGCGACATCAACGCAAAAGCCCAACTCAACACAGTGTTACCCAGATCTAACGCAATTCGACAGTTGCTGCAATAAATTGGTTAAGAAAAAACCCAGCTTTAGCACAGGAAAGTGGTCTGGAATAAATTCCAAATATCGCACTGTTCTTCCATAGTTCCAATTAACAGTTACGACATTAAAAGAACGACAACCCAATTCTCAATTATTAATTTAATTTCTTCTCAAGTGCAACTGTTGAATTAGTAAAAATTGCAAACTTCTCGAAACACTTCGTTTGAGGGTTTGCGGAAATAGAGGTATGTTTCTGGGCAAAAATCTTATTTCCAGTTTCCAAACATGAGTAGTCGGCTTGAAATTGATCCTACTCAGTCTCATTTAAGAACTTTTGCGCAAAATTTCACTTTTCTCATAACAGAGCTAAACCATCGTGTTTCCCTCACCTGTACTGCAATTCACTTCAATTTTCCAGTTCCAAAACGATAAAAATCGGAACAAAAGGTGCTGGAAACCAGTACCAACCGATACAGTACTAATAAAAAATGTTTTTTTCGCTTCGCAGGTAAACCGCCGCCCTCTCAGGCAGAGAGCTTAAAGCGCCTACCCAACTACTCACTACGCAGCGTCCAAGACACCATCAAGAAATTCGACCACACCAATCCTGCACCCATCAAAGCTCCACTAAACCCCGAAAACACGCGATCTTCCAACATTTTATCAGCAAGCATTCGCAAAAACTCGTTCTGTGATCCAACAAAACTAAACCCTTCATCGCCCATCTTAACCAGGAAGACCATCACTCATGAAACCAGCAATCGATTGGTTGTTTGTAAAGGCGAGACTGATCCCCCAAAAATAACTGTGCACAGGTCACACAGTGCAGCGAGCGAAGTGGGCAGATATCGAGCGACAAAAATCGACAAGCTGGTGCAAAAACTGGAGAAGAATGGCCATAGGAAAGTGTCCGAAGATGGTGAAGGGGTGCTGAATACAGCGAATCCCACTGTGAGGTTTAGGAGTCCGTCCCCAAGCCTGTTGAGGAAAACGCAAGCAGTGATTAATAAGGAGAAATGCAACGAAAGGTATAGAGCGCAGAACAATTTGGATTCGCCAAGGAACAGAACACCTCGATCGCCTACATTGAAACTCCGAGGCAACAACGAGTGTTTTCAAAAAGTGTCTGCCTTCTGGAACAATCCAAACACCTAAATTCACTCCAGTGGTCTTAATTGGACGTTAATTACCTACTTCACCTAAATATGGAACGTATTATATTATTGCCGATTTTTGTTATTTCTCTTGTTGTTGTTCGACTTTGTGAACATGTATTATTCAAGACCGTTATTTTTGTGTTATCCTTATTGTTAATATTTTGTTATTTTCAACTGTGCAAAGGTGTATCCTCCTAAGATGTATTTTTGCGACTACTTATATAGAAATCTATGTTAATAGAGCATTATTTTATTAACAGTTGTATTATTATTCAGCAAGAGTTAGAATTTCTGAGGTTTATAAGAAGTGAGTTAGTTACATTTGGAAAGTGTCACTCGTTAACTCCCGCTTTAAAATCTATTCTGTCAATAAATCCGCCTTATTTCAGGCCTAAGGCCCCGACTCTACCATCTACGATTAGAACAATGATCGTCGATTAATTACTAAGGCAACGACTTATGTGCCACCATAATTTTAATCATCGGTAAGGA